GTTTTCAGTGTGATAAACAGTATAAAAATGTGTAAGGAGAAAATTAAATGTCCGCATCTGTTTCCCTCACCCCTGTGACTATCTTGTTGTTAGCAGAGAATTTTTTTTTTAAAAAAAGCTTTACATAGAACACCTCTCTATACCCAAATTGAAACTGGATAAAAGCAAAGTATCTTTTAAATCCTAGACTCATTGACTGAGGGCATATTAGACAGTAAGAACTTTATTTGAAAGTAAGCTGAAATTTGAGAAATGGCTTTAGAATGTGTAAAAATTACAAGATTATTCTTTCTTCCAGATTTTGTATCAGATTGTACCATCTCATAAACTGATGTTGGAATTCCATAGATTATTGAGAAAATCAGGTAAATAATTTTCATTTTATATCTCTTTGTGCAGATAAGCTGTCGACCAGAGATCAGCAAGCTAGGGCCCGTGGGCCAGACCCAGCCCTCGCGTGTTTTTGTAAATCAGGTTCTATTGGAGCACAGCCACGTCTGTTCATTCATGTGTTGTCTAGGGCTGCTTTTGCAGTACAACAGTGGAGTTGCCTAGTTGTGACAGACCGTATGGCTCACAAAGCTTAAATATGTACTCTGTGGCCCTTTACAGAAAAAGTTTGCTGACCCCTGCAATAGAACGTTAGGCTGTAGTTAGAAAAAGAGAAAAGGCTTTAATTTGTATAATTCACCTCATTTTAATCTCCACTGGGTTTCAGTTTAGTACATAAAAGAACAGACTTCTTCACAGGAGGAACATCAGCTAGAGTCCAATAGGTACTGGGACTATACCTCAGTCCCTCTCCTAACAGAAAAGAATGTATATAAAATGCCCAAATAGGGCAGGTACTTTCAATAATGTTCTCAGTGGTATATAGGCCGTATAGAGATGAGACTCACCCCATGACTTCATTAGCATGGACTCAATTATTGAATTTTTCAGGTTCATCACAGGAGAGTATGAGCATAATAAATTGTGTTAAGCTGTTAACCAAACTAGAAAGCTTATGATTCAGTAGTATTTTATCAACTGAATATATTTTTTTAGCTTTCTGCAAACTCTAATTATTATGACCGTTGCAGAAAAAGAAGAACACCTTAAACTGGGGTTGGAGGTACTATTTGGAGTCTTAGATTTTGCTGGATGCACTAAAAATATAACTGCTTGGAAATATTTGGCAAAGTGTCTCAGACAGACCTTAATGGGGTAAGTAAGAGACATATAGTATGTATTACTGGTCAGCATAAATAATATTTCCCAGTATTTTAGCTGATATCTGTCAATTTTTAAATAAAGTTCTTTGCTTATGTTTTTGGATTTCTTGAATTTATCTTCTGCTGTTTTCTTCTGAGTACATCGGAAGCAAGGAAATACGAAGTCACAAGTATAACATACAAAAATTCTATCAAGATCTTTTTACACTATCAAAATAAGTGCTATACCTTACCACACACTGCTAGGGAATATGTGTGTTTTCAAATTGGAAATAAGGGCTAGAAGGGATCACTTCCACCCTTCGCTAGACTCTTTGTAAAGCTGTTTGTGATTTGTGTCTTTAACTCTGAGATCATGGATCATGTGGGAAGCAGCTTTCCTCCCGGCTGTTTTCAGTAATTTTCAGTGGGGTGTTTAGGGTCTCATAAGATCATCATCATAGGTTATTCATTCAACAGATATTAAGCCCATTGTGAGCTGGGTATCTAAAATTGTACCTCTGATCGTGATATCATTAGTGCCACATTTTGAGTAAAAGAAAAAGAGTGGCCCTTTGTCATTTCTACTTTGTGTGTGAGAAGAAAGGATATCATAAAATTAAGTTTCACTTACTATATCCATTTTAGTTGGTTAAGAAATTCATTATCTGTGGGAACTTGTTTCAGGCTTCAGATCTGACTTGACCTTGGAGCTAGAACAGTGCTGATTATAAAATGTTTTTAGTGTGATATGTTGATGTACTCGCTGTAAACCACTTTCCAAATCTAACGCACTGTGTAAACCCCTGCTAACCGTAAGATTCTTGAAGGCAGAGAAATGTACTGTTCATGTTTTGAACCTCTAGAAGTTCAATTTGCCACAGAGTGCAAATTGGTGCTAAATAAGTATTTGCTCAATTAAATTATTGACAAACACTTAGCATTGTCAGGGTTCAGCTGTCACACCTGTGTGTTCATGCATCTGTATAACAATGACATCTTAATTTGGATAGTAATTCTTTGTAGCGTATAATTTAAAGTGAGGTTTTATAGTAACTTTTAAGTAATGATAATAGTAGCTAAGAATTATTGAACATTTACTGTGTACCAGACAGCATGCAAAGAGCTTTACACGAGACCGCTATACTGCTGGACCAGTTTAATCCCAATAACAGTGCTATGAGATGGGTACCATTAATATTCTCCAGGAGGTTTAGGCTCAGAGAGGTTAAACAACTTGCCCAGGATCACACAGATAGTAAGTAAGTGGAAGATCTGAGATTTGAATCCAGGATTTTGACTTCAGAGTCTGTGCTGTTAACCACTGTGCTGTATGGACTGGCTATTTAGTTAAATGCAAAATGGGACATGGGACAAAGAGGACTAAAAACGATTGGCTTTCATGCGTGTGCTGTATACCATGGCCATACTCAGAAATTAGTTTGGAAACATCTTCCTAGTCATCTTTCCACAGACTCTGCTTAAGGTCAGATTCTGACAGTATAGATTTGTCGTCACCATTGACTTTCCCTTTTGACGTTTTTCTTTTCCAGGAGCCATCTTGCCTGGGTTCAAGAAGAGTGGAACTCCAGGAAAAACTGGTGGCCAGGCTTTCACTTCAGCTACTTTTGGGCAAAAAGTGATTGGAAGGAGGAGAAAACTTTGGCTTGTGAGAAAGCTTTGGTAGCTGGAATATTGTTAGGAAAAGGTACATGTTTTTGTTTTCTTTTTCTCTAGACATAGCTTTTGGGTGATTTTGAAATTAGAAAGTGTGACCATTCACACATACTACGGCTTACCTCGTACAGTGCCTAAGGATATAGATGCTGGAGAAATAACTGTTGAATGGAAAAATGGATCCTGAATGAGAACCAGGTGATCTGCTTGTGCAGCATCTCCGTGGTGTAGGAACAGTGATTTCAGATTTTTGATCATGATTGGTTTTTATGCTCTAACTCGAGTATTTTTAGGGGCTGTTAAGATATAGGATGCTCTAAGTTGAGTATCTTTAGGGGCCATTAAGATATAGGATGTTTTCACAACAAATGACCATTTGGCTATGATGTATCGAAAGTTTACTGAGTTTGTCTACTTTTTTTAGAAATAGTAAAATATTCTTTGACCTCATTGTTTAATAATAGCTCTATATTATATTTACTAATCTGTTTCTGTAAAGATGGAACATTTTTTCCCCTTAAGAAAAAGTATACCTCCTTTTAACTTATTTAAAAATCCTCATAAAAGAAAGGGAAATTAATCTTTTCTCTGTGGAGTATCTTAGCTGTTAAAACTCTTACCTGCTTTGCACCACTGAAATATGAAAAGGTAGCCAGTATTGAAATGAGGCTGCTGCCGGGTGTGTCCAGAGATGAAGAAAGGGCATCTCACAGTGACCACGAATAAGCAGTTTGTTACTAGCGAGTTGCAAGTACTATCCTAAAGAGGTTCTTCAGGTTCGTCTTAGATGTGGTTTGTATTATTTTGAAATTAGTATTCTCAATGGATATTTCAAATGGCTACTAAGAGTAATAAAATGCTAGTTTTGTCAGAGGAAAGGGTTTAATAAACATGAAAGTAATTTAAAAATTTCTCTCTAATCACTGATGACAAGGAATAGGAATGTGAATTGAAGCGTGATTTTCCACTTCTTTATGAGTATAGAGGTATCTAGTACAGATATCTAAAGGTATCCTTGTTTGAGCAGAGTCTGCAGACCTGGGTTAATTTTCCAGTTGTGTTGCTAACTTGCCGTGTCATGTAGGTCAAGCAGTTAACCTTTGGGAGCCTTGTCTGTGAAATGGGCATTGTAACACCTGTCCTTACTTGCTTACAGGATTGTTGTAAACTAGTGAGCGTCGCATCAAAGTGCTTTGTACATTCAACAGTACCCTACGAATATCAGGCGAAATTATGCCTGGAAATGGGTGCATTTTTTCTTCCTTCGGGGCGTTCGTGTGGGGGTTGAGTCAGGCTGTTCAGGAGCTGAGTTGGGTTTTGTTCTTGCTCTGGTTACCCTCATTGCATTCTGGGATTCGAGTTCTAGTGTTGGTCTGCCTCGTCTTCCTGCAGTGGGTATGGTGGCTGTTCTTCCTCCAGGCCTGCTAGGGCGAGCCAGCCCATTTCTCACTGGATGGGCTTTTCCTCCTTGCAGTTCAGGCCGCTTGGTTGCCCTGTGGCTTCAGCTCTGGTGGGCTCAAGAAGAGTTAGGAGTTTGTAGTTTGTTTGGTTTTTTCTCTATGTGAAGGTGGGAACACAGTTCTTTCCTGCTTTCTATATTCTAGATAGAAGCAGAAATCTGAATACAAAGTGTTTTGTTTTTGCTAAAGTGGTAGATGTGTTTAGAAACACAAATTATTATATTAACACCACAGACACCACTGCTTCCCAGCTAATAAAATATTAGCAATTCTGGCATACTGTTTTCAAGGATACTAAAATGGTTGCCATAGGTATAGTATGTATCCCGGCAACTTCACAGAAAAGATGGATATATACAAGCTGAGACTATAATGAAATTAATTTTTCATATGTGATTTATGGTCTCATTTATCAAATATAAAAAATCGCTTATAATATCCAGTTTATATTTTTATTACGGAAATCTGATTCATGTCTCTGAAATATTTAACGTCCTCTTCGCGTTGTAAGACTGTGAGAAGCAGGCAGAACCTCTAATGAGCATTAGGCACCTTTGGCAGAGCTGCACGATCACCATCCGGCTGCTTGCTAGATGGCTAGAGTGATTGGATGATTTTTGATCTCTTCTGTCCTATGATTTATTTATTCTAATCCTTGACATCAAGGTTTTCTACAGATTAATATCTTATTGTTATGAATGCCTCTTTGGCTGCTTTACACGCTAACACTGAGAAGGAAGCTATGGTAATTTGCTTTTGGAGAAGGCTCATTTATTACATGAATATATATAATAAGCATATCACCTTAACTACGGTTTGGGAGGGAGGGGAGAAAAGAAGCTCAAGTATATGCTTTAGTTACGAGGGATCAGAAGCATCTTTGTATGTAGGAAGCAGTACATTTCATTGGTGACAGCTCTTAAAATGTGCTTAGGACATATTGCTATAGATGATACAAATCAGTCTATTTTCATAATCATTGATTTGCCAAAGTTGAAGCAACATTTTAAAAATGTAGACATGTAATTGAAGAATTTGATAAGTATTAAAACTCTTTGTTTCTTTTGCTTTGTTTTGTTTTTTAGGTTGTAGATATTTTCGATATATTTCAAAACAAGATCATCAAGTCTCAAGGAAGAAAATTAAGCGGATGAAGAAATTAGTGAAAAAATACAGTATTGTAAATCCAGGGCTCTGATATTGGATTTCAGTTGTTTCAGATTAGTAGCTACAGCATAGTAGGTCACTACATAGTTATTGAATGTATTTATTTATTTGGTGTTTCAAGAAGGTAGTTTTATGGCTACAGAAAAGTTATTTTTATATTTTTTTATGTTTTCTTTTACTATCATATAGTTATGTTATAGCTAGAGAAGCAGTCTCACTGCCTTTGCTCTTTGTAAATATATATTTTTCCTTTTTTGTACTATTAAATGTAACATTTATTAAGGAATAATCTTCAAATAAAAATATATTTATTTAATCAGAGAATCCAGTTCTACAGCAGTTATTGCTTTGTAGATAATTTGCCTCTGACTGTTGCGTAATAAATATAACTTGTGGTACTGTTCAATGAATTTACATTCTTCTTTTAGGTTCTAAATGATCCACGTTAGGTTTACTACCATGAAGACTATATTGGTGATGAGTTCTGTTGAGGAATTTTGGAGACAGAGAAGGATTTAGGAAAGGTTTCTTTCTCTTCTTTTCTTTCTCTTACTTTCTCTTTTGGTAAAAGACATGGTAGTTTGGTGCTAAGTGACCTCCTGATGGAGAGGTACCTTTGACTCTGAGGACTGATTTGGGTCAGAGAGGGTAGAGGGGGCTGGCTGCTTTCGGCGGGCATTGGCCTAACTTTAAAGGGTTCTAGGTTGGTTGGTTTGCTTGTTTGCCTGGCACGGCGGTCTAAGACATGCTTTAGAATGCCGGTGTCCTCTCCTCTCTCCTGGAAGCTAGGATGCAGCTGGACAGCGGAGGAGACTCTGCCAGTGAAATAGCGTCGCAGGGTCACATAGCAAGCCCAGTGGGAAAGCTTGGCCCGAAAGCCAAGAACAACTTTCCTGGAATATGAGCTGAGCTTTATAACGTGGTAATAACTGGTAGAGGAAGTGCTTCTTCAAAACTGTCTTGGCTCCTACACATTGACTCTTCCGATAACTAGTATTTGAGTTCCATTAAGGCTCACTGACTCCAGTGCAAGTCCAGTATTTAGATGGCAAATCACATATTTTCCCCATTGGCTTATAATCCTACTAATTTTAAACCATTTGCAAGAAAATTGGACAAATTATGCTTTGTCAGTGATTTAATTGAATATTTTATGCTTAGTAAGAAAGGACTATCAACAAATAAGTACCCAACCTTATAATATACATATGAAACAAGTAGATGCCCACAGAACCCAGATAAACCAAGTTAAAGCTACACCTGAATAGGCCCAGCTTTAGTGCTGGGAGTCGATGACTGGGTTGTAAAGGAGTTCTGTGTAAGGCCAACATCTTAGGAATGAGATTCCCAGATGAAGTGGACATGATCTCAAAGCATAGACCAAGATCATCAGGACGTCTACTCCCTAAAACCTTTAGTCCAAAGTAATAGGATTTTTGAACTCTCATGCACTCCAGCAGAACTGAGGGGAGAATGAAAGAGAAATGAGTAGATATAGTTCTTGGTGTCCACACAAAACTTAGTTTCTTAAAATTTGTATGTCAAATGTTCATATCTCATTGTGCAATGAGAGCAGTATGAATCAACAACTGTGAAAGCCAGACCTGTCCTCACTCTCCCAGGCTCGGTTGGCTCCCCACTTTGTGTCCCCGCTCTGTATAGGACCTTCCTGTCTTACCAAATCACCATATTGTTTAATTATCTTTGCACATCTGTCTTTCTCAATAGTATATTATACTAGGCTTAATCATCTCCATATCACCAAAGCCTAACAGAATTTCTAGCTCATAAAATATTCATTGAGTTGAACTGAATGAAAATTTATGAAAGTTATTAAAGTGGACCTATTTCATAGGAAGTAATATCTCTGTGAGTTTTTGCCAAGTGGAGGGCCTCAGGAGACTGTTTGGTTTGAATCCTGGGTTACTATTTGGTAGTTCCGTGACTTCTTGGGCAAGGTACTAAAGTCTCTCTGTTTCTACACCTGTAGATTGGAGACAATAGGATTTATCTCATTGGATTGCTATGAAGAATAAAATATAATTAATGCCTAGGATAATGCTTAATAAGTGTTAACTAAGTAACCATCTATCATGACTACTCTAGACATTAAATAACAGGAACTAAATAAAGTCTTGTTTTTCCTGGAAACCTCTGAAATATCAAAATTGTATAATAGATGAGTTAATGCTTCCCACTAAAATATATCCATCTTTCAATCTATATACTGTGTATCCAGCCATCAACCTTGGGCTTGAAGGCAACCCCACACACACTTGGGGATACTCCCTCTGCACAGTTCTCCCCCTGCTGATGTACTGCCTTGAAGATTCTAGCTGCTTCAGCTGCTCAGAACCCTGATCTCTGCCTTATCAGCTTTGCGGGACTGCCGTGCTCTGCTTGGCCTCCAGCCCAATGCACTGCTCTTGGGAAATCGTCCTTAGGTGGAGAAGTTGGACTACTGTAGAACTTACTTCATGAGTTTCATTTCTTCGATAATCCCAGTCTCGTGCTCACTGCCTGAAAACAGTTGTCTCATATATTTTATCTAGATTAGAAGGTATGCAAATTCAACTATATAAAAATTAAGACCTTTTGCCTATCAAATGATATTTTAAAGAAAGTTAAATGCAGTCTACTATTAGAAAAAAGTATTTGCAACACATATAAACTGACAAAAGATTAAAATAAATTCAAATAAGTAAGAATAAGACAAAGAATCCAATAGAAAAAAAATGGGCAAAGGGCCTGAACACATATTTCATGGAAGAAGGAGAACATAGACAGTGAACACATCAGTCAGGGAAATGCAAATCAAGAGCATAGTGAAATACCAGTTTAGACCCATTCAATTAGCAACCATCAAGATGTCTGGCAGTACTAAGGTTGAAGAGGATGTGGGTCAACAGTCTCTCATAATTGCTGATGGGACTGTAAAATGTTGCAGTCATTTTAGGAAACAGTTTCTTGCTCTGCCATTTACCAATACCTTTCTTGAGTATTTTACTCAAAGGAAATGCTTGTACATGTACACCAAGAGACAGTAGCACTGTTCATAATAGCAGAAAAACTAGGAAAAACCCACAAATGCCCATTGGCATGAGAATGGATAAATTGTGGTAGAGTCACACAAAGGAAAATGAATAAACTATAGACTTATGCACCAACGGAGATGAATCTCAGTAACATAATATTGAGTGAAAGAAACTAGTCCCAATGTACTACTTTATGACTACATAGAATTCAAACTTTATGAAGTTCAAACTTAATGACTAAAATGTTTATGAATGTGTATAGATTGTGATGAAACTTTACATAAACAAATCAAGGGAGTGATAAACACAAAACTCCCATGGTCAGCTCTGAATGGGAGAAGCAGAGGGATAGGATGGAGGAAAAGCACATGAGGGGATGTCAATTACCGTTAATGGCCTAGTTTTTGGATTAAGTGGCAGACCCTTCATGGACTAATGTTGACAGTGCTTTATGAGCCAACAATTGTGGTTAATTCCATTTTGTGCACGTCAGGTTCCTTTAAGAAATGAAAAGGACCATACAATATATGATTCCATTTATATGAAATGTCCGGAGTAGGCGAATCTATAGAGACAGAAAGTAGATTAGTGGTTGCCTCGGGCTGGGGGATGGGAGGATGAGATGGGAGTGATACTAAAGGATACAGGATTTGAGACCATGAAAATGTCCCCAAATTGACTGTGGTGATGGTTGCACAACTCTGTGGATATACTAAAAATCATTGAATTGTACACTTTAAATGAATGAAGTGTATGGTATATGAATTATATCTCCATGAAACTATTAAAAAGAAAAAAAATAGCAAGCTCTATGGAGTCAGAAAGGCCTGGATTCAACAAAGCACCCCATCTAACTGATCCTCAGTCTTACTCTGTAAAATGGGGTGGTCTCAGAAAGGCAGATAGTGTTTGGCATGAGTCCTGCTGTGGAGTTCTTCTCAATAACTGGTAACATTTATTATGAACAAAAACCAAAACCAAAAAAAAAGAGAGAAAAGAAACTAAAAGAAAAAGTTAAGACAAACCCAGACCATTTTTTAATGAAGGGGAAGGGTGGCCTTTTGGATCCAGTTAATTATCCACATTTACAGCACAAGGGCTTTTCCTGCTGGATTGAATTAGAATATTTATATTTTAAATATTTCAAAAGGAAATAAGCAGACTCTTGATGAATATGGTCTACAAATCATATGACTCACATCTTCTGAATAAGTTAATTTCAAAAAATTAATCTACTTGAGACTGTTCCTCTCTCCGTCCAAGATTCTTGCTCCCAAAAGCAACAATCAGCCACCAAGTAGGAGTCCACTCTTATTCAGTCCTGCAAAGAACCTTCTCTATGTTGTCTTCATAGATAGGAATGTAGCCTTTAACTCAGTGAATAGAGACAGATCTTGAATTTATTTCTGCCCCATCAGCCCCACAATGGTACCACTGCCAGTTTATTTACAACTCCCAACACGCCTATACCAAGACTTCACAGATAATCTTATCAAAAATCAACGCGC